AAGTGATCTTTGCATAGCACGGAAGACATAGCTAGTCGCCTGGGACACAGGCTTTGAAAGTTTAACTGAGCTCCCCCGACCTGCCACAAGCTTCTACAGACCAAAAATATCTCTATCCTCAACTACATAAAGCTTGTGAGTAGCAAAAATTGTAAAAATGAAGTGTACAAGAGGAAACATCCACGTAACACATTTGTACCCTGTATACAATGCACCTCCCTCCCCCTTGGGAAGTGGCCAGCGGTCAGCCTCGTGGATTCTCAGCAATAGACAAAGAACCCCGAAGGTCAGCCCCACACACTCGGACCAGGGGTTGGTGTGGTTTCCAAAGAGAGTTGTCACGTACAGTTACAGTACTCGCTGGCGATCTCGGTGACCGAGGAGCCAGGTGATTTTCCTGGCATTTAGGCAAGTAACATTTGATTGTCAGAACTTACAATTCTGAGACAATAAACACAAGTAAATCAGGTGCGTTTTTCCATTGCATCAAGTAAGTCCAGTTTAATTTAATACAATTTAGTGCATTTTAGTGTCTCATTCACAGTTCGGCTTCTGTCCAAATACTTTTGCAACAAAAAATCAGGAGACTGAGTAGCTGATGAGGAAAGAAAGGCCCAGGTGAGCTTGTCATTACAAGGCTGGAAGTTGGAAAGCGATTCAGCCATCTTGGGAATATGCATTGCTGCCTATGCTGTCTCGAGTCCCCTTCTAGTCATTTCCAGCATCCCTGAAAGTGCTCTTGTCATGTCTTTCCTGAGTGGTTTGCAAGGATGCTGCTGTTTTCACAAAATTAGCAGCAGAGGCTTGTTATAAACCCTCATTTGTCTGTGTCCACCCCCATCAATTAAACAGATGACAGTTATGGCATCTTTTGCCCTAAAACTGTCCCTGCATTTTTCTGCACCCTGGCCCCAGTGTGCACGACTGTGGAAACCGAACCACCGAGTCCACCCAACAGCCCCACCGCAGGGCTACTGGACCAGTCATGGCCTGAGTGTGGTGGTGTGGCCGGGCCCCACCCTCAGCATAGGGCGTATTTTGGTTTGGGGGCTAGCTCACTGGAGGGAGGAAGGGGTGGGCACCCAGACCAGGGACATGCTGTTTCCAGAGCAAAGGCAGGTGGGTGTCACGGGCCCGTGGTTTTAACTCGAGGTCTGGTTACAACATAGAAGAGTTAAAAGCCATGTCACACCATGTAACACCAATTGTTGCATGCCAGGGGGCCCGAAGCCATTGGTAGGAAATTCGAAGCATGAGTTTATGCACAGGGTTGAACAATTCCAGTGGAAATCGGCAGGGCTGGGAAGGTTTTATCTGGCTTATCCTGTAATCGTCTCAGGCAGAGGCAAAGTGACATGCAGAAAGTTACGAGTTACATATGCTTCACCCCAAATTTGACGCAAATTGGTAGTCACGATGGGTACGGGCTGCCCTGTGACATCTCTTAACTGTGTATGAGGGCACACTGCTGGGTCTGACCCCCTGCTATTTCCTCAGCTCAACTCAACGCTCAGTACCTCAACGAAGTGAGTGTAAGGAAAAGTTGGCATACCGGAGGGGGACATGGGGGCAGATAAGGCGCAGAGATGAGAAACTGATCGATTACAACAGCTGCGTTATTTGTTTACAAGAAAGTGCTGCTTATGTCATTATTTCATTTGACTGTTTAGTGATTTATATATTCAGAGCGCGTCTCTTCCACCAGACTGTGTGCTTCTCAGGGACAGGGACCGTAAAGCACCTCAAGTAGGGCTGTGTGTCCAGTACACCGTCACCAAGTGCCGGACAACCAGGGTCATTGCTTTCTCCAGGCTAAAACATATGTCCGTGGATGGCCATTTTGAACCCTCCTCAAGTCTTCAGAGAAAGAGGGGGTACGCATAAAGGTAGTGCTCCCAAATCTATAAAATCCTTTCAGTGGCACCCCGAGGACAGTCACTACGGAACAGGGGGAGACCCCGGAGAGAGAAGCCAGAAGGGCCTCAGATGCCACAAGACACCATGAAATGCCACAGGCATCTTTAGAAGCCCCCGGAGTCCCCACGAGGGGCCGAAAGAAGTGCAGCCCTCTCTCCGGCTGGCACAGGACCAGGGCATCTATCTACTCGCCGGCGGCTCTGGAGGGGTCAAAGCCTGAGCTCTGCTCGGGTCACTAGGTCAGGACAGAGCAGTCGGGCGAGGGGGGCCGGCAGGGGACAACGAAGAAGTGGACAGTCTGTGGGAACACAGGTGCGAGAACCCACACACCTGAGAACCTGCTTCCCTGAGCTGAGCAGAGAGGTAAACCAGCCAAGCTGCCACGGGAAACCATACCCTAGGCTTAGACCTCAGCCCGGGCGAGCTGGCGGCGACCGCCACGCTAGTGCCAGCCAGCACCCTCCCACCCTCCAGCTGATCCCAGGGACCAGCGTGGAGGGTGCCGACCACTCCAGGCCTAAAATACTCCCCCCTCCCCAGCCCTGCTCTCCACCAGCAACCAGCACAGCTGTCTGAGGGCTGCCCTGCCACTCACCCAGCGCTCAGCCTGAACTCTGACACGACAGCATCACCCACAGACGAAGCTCCGGTGCAGGGAGGAAAGCAAACGGCAAAAAGCACTATCCTGGGATTTATTAATTTGAGAAAAATGAAAGGAGCTGCCCTCCCTTCCTCTTTCCTTCCAGGATGAACGGATGGGTGGAAAGCAAAGGCCACCCCCCTCCAAGAAAACACCAAAGCACTCGGGGTTTTGTTTTTATTGCTCTCAAAGGGCTTGATATTCAGATGCATAAGCGAAGCTGCATTAAATCAGAAGAGTCAAATCGGAAAAGAATCCTGTGAAATTTAAAGCCTGCCCCAGGGTCTCAATCATCACTTCAACCTGTGACTCCACTCCGAATTCACACATTCTATGTTAATTTCAAGGGGCGGGGACTCATCTGGGAACCAAGAACTGTTCATTCAATGGCAAAAGATCTAGATTTGCATTTCTAGGCAACGCCCTCGGTACAGTAGGAGCTTCCAGCACTTTCTCTTTAAAATTGTCTAGGATGGAAGAATTCGCTAATGACATGGATCAAAAACACACATGAAGACAGACAAGCAGCATACAGTGTCAAGACAAACGGACATTTTGGGAGGCGCTCACCCTTGGTGGTGGCGTCTGCTCACAGTACCGCTAGTGGAGTTGGGGAACGGGTGGGGGGCCGGGCTTGAAGACAGAGCAAGCAGACTTGCAAAGGAAACAGATGGTGAAGCTGTGTTTTGTTCTGTTCTGTTTTACCCCCTGGCCCTACAGGGAACTGTTTCATTCACTGTCGGGAGTGGCGAGCGCGTGTAGTGGGGAGCACCGCTGCACCCGCGCCCTCCATCCCAGTCTCCAAGCCCAGGGTTGGCGTAGTCTTCGCTCTAAAGAATACGCGCAGTCTCAATAAAACTTCCTAAAAGAAGTCCTTAGGGCCAGTGCATAATTCCTTTTTCCAATTTAGTTTCTAATTTCCTCCATGCCTCTTTCTTCCTAGGAAATTCAACCTGCCCATACTCAGAATGCTGGTTAGGATATATTAGGGAGAATACCCACTATTTGTTTTCCCCTTGCTAAAAAGGATGAGGAGAGTGTGACTTTAAAAAAGCAAGCGGAAAGTTTAAGAAAAAAAGCTGAATGCGGGTAGGGGAACAGTGTCTAGTTAAATGAGCCTGAGCCTGGATCCCGGGCAGGGAGACCCCGAGGGCCACGGATGTCCCTCCCACCGACCCCTCCAAGCAGCCCCCAGCAGCTTCGGACGGAGCCTACATTCAACGCGCCACAGGCCAAGGGAAGCCCCTCCTGAGGTGACGGGGTAAGATGACCATGAGCCAGCCAAGTGCCGTCCCCTTATCTCTGGCTCTTTGGAGGCCCCTCAAAGACCACCACTCGGATGGAGGGCGCAAGGAAGCAGCATGAAGAACACGTGTGGCCCCCTGGACACTGGGGACGGCCCAGGCTGCCATGCTGACCCCTGCCTGGACAGAGGCAGCCCCCTCTCCCCCAGGACACACGACATCTGGGAGGGGGACAGAGATGGAGGGGAAGAAGCCTGTGCACCACCTCTAATCTTTACCGGGAAGCTAAGCGCCATCAGCGTATCACCAAGGAGCAAAAATAAAATCTCTAAAAGCCAGCTAGCCCAGTGGGAACAGTCTCCTCTACCTTTAAAAGAAAAAACCCTTCTGCAGAGTCCCGCCGAGTGCAGCAGCCTGGGGTCCAGGGCAGGGACGGGACCACATCCACACACCCTCCCCTGCACACTCGGCTCCTCCAGGCTATCCAGTCTGGCCCAGCGTGGCCTCCCCAGGACCCGCGCCAAGGGACTAGGGGTCTGAGGGCCACGGTGGGGAAGAGTGGGGACAGGGACTCTGGAATACACGAGGAATTCCATATTTCACTAAGGTCTTGGGGTCCCATTTGCCTTAAAAACAGATTCAAGGTATTTACAGAGAAGGGGCAAACGATGATGAGAAAGTAAAACAGGGCGTGGCCGTCTGCTGAGTCCCGGTGCAGGGCGGGAAGGAAATCGGATTTGCTACAAATCCCTCCGATTTACATTCATATGTGCTTATCACTAAGGGGGGGTTCTCCATGACGACCCCTGGCCCTGAAGCCACAGCGCACCGCCCAGCAGGGCAGGACGAACTCTGTGGGGCTCCGGTACCCGTTCACATCCGTTCCCAGAGGACAGCAGAAAATTCATTGAGAGACAGTTTTCTAGGGGTGCAGGGGAAAAGGAGGCGCTGGGGTAAGTTCCCGAAGTGACGGATAAAAAAACAAAAACTAGATCTAAGTTTAAGAAGAGGAAGAATCCAAAGCTCCCTCTCGCAAGCAGAGTTCTTGAAAGATGACCTCCACGTGGGACTGACTGTCTCCCCCGAGCAGGCCAGTGCCGCCCTCCTAGCAGCCCGCCCAAGGGGACACGCTGGCCTGGCCCGGCCGGCGGGCGGATGGACGGACGGTCTTCCTCTGTCAGTCCTTACGGGCGCTTTACTCTTGGCTCAAGTTTTATTTGTTAATATTAGTCACCAGTTAATAAGAAAAATAGTTTCTAAGTGTCTCTTTTTTCTCTCTGTGTATGTTGTTCTGTTTTTAATTGAGTTAATTGGATACCACCATCAGTTACACGTGTTCAGCCGTTGCCATCAATCACTCCTTTTTCTTCAATTCCTGGTTTCCGTAGCTGGAGCCTTTTTCTATCTCCGTCACTCCTATTAGTCTACGGACTCCAAAGGACGCTGGAGAAAGGAGAGAGAGGTGGGTAAGCTGAGTGTGCTGCTGGTGAGCTGTAAGGAAGCTCTCCCTGGAGCCCACCTTCCTCTGGCCTAGACCCCAGGGAGGGTGTTTGTGCGAGCGGCAGGCCTGGCCCTCTCCACCCTCCCTTCCTTTCTCCTGGAGGGTCCCGGGGGGAAGCGGGAGACCCTGGATCTCCACATCCCCATTTGGTGAAGATCTGACGCCACATCCTCCCGTTGGTTCCATCAGACGCTGCTGAGGTGCCCACCTCTATCTGCCTGTCCCATCTTACTCCTCAGTGGGGCCTAACCTGGGGGGCCTCGTCAGATTACAACATGTGGTTAAGATGGGACTGGTGGACAGACTTAGGCCACTCAGATGTAGCTGGTGGTCAAGCCCTGTCCTTCCTGGGACAAAGTGTAAGTAGGTGGAGGACACAGTAGCCCCAAATCAACCTATGGTCCGACGTGAGAGGATGGTTGTGGTCACAGGTTTTCCCTTAATTCCCACCATGCTCTGGAACGGAGAAGGCAAGAGTAAGGGAGGAGCTGAGACAACTGCAATGGAACCATCTATACAAACTCTCAATCTACACGTAACACTTATCAATCTATAAGTCTAGGACATGGTGCACAGTGGGGGTCAGCACCCTGGTGACACAGGACATTGTTCATAGAACCATGACAGCCTGAGTGTTCACTCATTCATTCAGAGCTATTTGATGAGCGCTGTGAGCAAAGGGCTGGGAACACCAAGGTGCAGTCACTAAGGGCTGAGAGACAGTTGTTGAGTGGGGAAAATGTCCTGGGAAAACCTTCAAAGCTATCACTCCAACCCAAACCCCTCAAAGCCAAAACGCAGAGAGAGTAACCAGGACCCTTTCAACAATATCCTCACCAAATGTTGACCCAGCTTCAGTCCAGAATGCTGAAAGGGCAGGCTGGCCGTCCACCTTTCTGAAGACATGTCCTTGGGTTTGGCTATGGCCTTGATGATGTTTCAAGGCCTGCCGCTTAGTGGCGAGAACCTGGACTCTGAGGTGTGAAAGGCTCAGGCTGAACCCTGGCCCTCCTGCAGGCTCTGCCACCTTAAAGAGGCCCCTTGTCACCAAGCCTCAGCTACCTCACCAGCAAAAAGTGCCTACCTCACAGGGTGACCGAAGTCCCCGGGTGGCACAAAGAGGTAAGCACTTGGCTACTAATTGAAAAGTTGGCAGTTCAAATCCACCCAGGGGCACCTTGGAAGACAGACCTGACGATCTACTTCTGAAAAATCAGCCACTGAAAACTCTATGGAGCACAGTTCTACTCTGACACATACGGGGTTGCCATGAGTTGGAATTGACTCGACAGTAAATGTTTTCTTCCCCCCCACAGGGTGACCGTGATAGGTGGTCCAGTCCCGGGCATGATGCCTGGTACACGGTTAAGGCCCCCAAACTGTGAGCTACTGTTATCCTCCACATTCATTACCTGCTCCAACAAATCCTAAGAATGTAAGGATCAGGAGGGGGGATCCACTTGCAAAGACGCCTAAGACAAAACTGAACAGAGGAGACAGCAGAATGGTGGCCCAGAAGAGGAAGTTCAGGAGGGTCCACGGCCTTCTGGAAGGTTTAAACTGTTGCCCTGGAAATGTACCTTTCTGATTATAGATCTCCTGTAAAGCATCCTGAAAGAGTTAAAAGAAAAAAAAAGGGAAAAAAGGGAGGTTTCTTTAGATATTATTGTTTTAACACAAGAGAAAATTAATGTTGGCAATAAAAGATGCTTCAACCAAAAAAATGCTACATATTATAAAAAGTGGTCAAATTTCATAGGCTGCAAATGGGGGATTAAGTTGGCATAACCTTTTTGGAGAAGCTTTGGCAAACATCAGAAGCTTAAAAAAATACACACCCTTTGACCCAGCAATTTTCTTAAGAAAATAATCAATCAAAGGAGAAAAGCTGTATATCCAAAGATCATGCCTGGAAGATAACAGGCACCTCCAAATACCATGACTGACAGTGATGGTCACACCATGCTACTCCTCCAAAGTGAGAGGTGCCACAGGCGGTGGTCATGACCAGTTGTGAGTTCAAGGGCCTGGGCCCAGTACCTGATCTCACCTCCTATCAGCTGCATCTCCCACAGACAGTCTCTTAACCTCTCTTTCCTTGGTTTCTTTGTATGTCAAGTGAGGCTAATGACGGTAACTACCTGTAGGGTTAGGAGGAGGGATAAGCCACATGAGGATGTGGAATCAGCGCCTGGCCAGAGTCATTCTCACGAGATGATACTGTCAGAGCATGTTAAACAGTGGAAGCTGGATGCACTCTGTCATGGTTTGAATTATGTCCCCCAGAAAATGTGTGTATCAGTTTGGCTAGGCCATGATTCCTGGCACTGTGTGATTTTCCTGTATGTTGTAAACCTGCCTCTATGATGTTAATGAGGGAGGATGGGTGGCAGTTGTGTTAGTAAGGCAGGACTGGATCTACAAGACTGGACTGTGTCCAAGGCAATCTTTTCAGATATACAATACAGAGGTGAGCAGAGAGACAGGGGACCTCATACCATCAAGAAAGCAGTGCCAGGAGCAGAGCGCATCCTTTGGACTGGGGTCCCTGCGCAGAGAAGCTCCTAGTCCGGGGGAACACTGAAGAGAAGGCCGACAGAGAGAAAAAGACTTCCCCTGGAGCTGATGCCCTGAATTTGGACTTTTAGCCTACTTTGACTATGAGGAAATAAACTTCTCTTCATTAAAACCATCCACTTGTGGTATTTCTGTTGTAGCAGCACTAGATGACTAAGACACACTCCAAACATCCAACAGCATGGGCTGGTTGAAGAAGTGCATGTCGAATACAACAGAATTCTGTGTTCCATATTTTTTAAGCTTTCATATTTTCTCTCTCTTTGTACCACACGCGGAGTAATTTCCTCAAATCTATTTTCCAGTTTACAAATTCTCTCTTCAGCTGTATCTAATCTGCTGTTTAATTTAATTACAATTTTACTATCAGTGACTAAATTTCTCATGCCTATAAGTTCTATTCGGTTTTTCTCAAGTCTGTCTCATGTTTCTGTAGGTCTTGTGTTCGTTTTCTACCCCTTGTCTTGTGATTAATCATTTTAAACATATTTATTTTAGCCTCTACCTGATAGTTCCCTTAGCTGAAGTTCTTGGAGGGTATAGTTTTGCTGTTTGTTGTATCTGTTGTCCCTTGCCCATAATGGATTTTTTTTCCCTCCCAAATGTTTTGTATTTTGGTTATAAGCTCATCTTCAGCAGCTTTATCTGTGGAAATCTTGGCCCATATAGGTTTGAAGTCATTTTCCTCCAGTTTTGCGTTTGTTTTTCTCAGAAACTCTAGATTTGTTACTAGCCTAGAATCACTTTTTATGAAGATGTTTTGGCTTTGTGCTCCGTGGTATATGTTGTTAGAATAAATTCAAACCCCAAACCTACCTGAGGGAAGGCCTCTGATCATGAATTACTAGGGACTATTTTTTGATCCCAAGAAAAGAAAGGTAAACTTTAAGGTTATTTTCCTGTGCTGGTACATAGCTTTTTCTTTGTCAGTCTAAGCTTCCTGAGGGTCAAACTCTTAAAGGGTCCCAACTTCAGTGTTGCCATACAGGCTCTTCTGTTGCCATACAGGCATTAAAACCAAGACTTTGGGTTATGGGGACCAGCAAACTTCACTAGTAGAATATGACAGTATTAGCTCACAGGCTAAAAGTCCTGGTTTTCAGCTCCACCTCCCTTTTTGGTCCCTGGAGATTTCTTGTATTTTCTTGAGAGCTTCTGACTGTATTTAAAAGGATATTTGTCATGTATTAGCCAGAATGAGAAGGTGTTTTACACTGGAAGGATTTTGATTATTTAGCCTCCACAATGCTGAAATGGAAATCTTATCACTTATTTAATGTCCTATGTATTTGTGTGAGAAAGATGTAGCAGTCTGCTTCCATAAAGATTACAGCCTTGGAAATCCTATGGGGCAGTTCTACTCTGTCCTATAGGGCTGCTATGAGTCAGAATCGACTCGATGGCAACAGGTTTATGTATCTCTGTGTATGAAATACAGTGTAAGCGGGTGTCAGGGTGAGGCATGCTGTGATGGTTAATTTTACATGTCATCTTGGCTAGGCTTTGGTTCCCAGTTGTTTCGCCAAACTCTAGTTGATGCTATGGTGTAGTTACATGTGATTAAATCACTCGGGCTTGGGTAGAGCAGATTACGTGGTGTGGTGTAGTGTGATGGTGATGGTGATGTAATCGCCTTCCACGATGTAATCTGATACAATGTAATCAATCAGTCAGTTGAGGTCATACCAGTATAGGGTGAATCCTAACCCTAATCACTTCTGAGTTATAAAAAGACCAGAACAGACACAGATACACCCACAGGGGAAGACAGATGCCATGTGAGGATCATCTACAAGCAAAGGAACACCAAAGAATGGCAAGAATTGTTGGCAGATACCAGAAACTAGGTAGGATGCTCACAGAAGGAAAAGACATGGCCAAAACCCTGACTGGAAATTTCAGCCTCTAGGACAGTGAGACAATACATTTCTACTGATCAAAGCCACTTGCTTGTGGTATGTCTGTAACGGTAATGCTAGGAAAGTAAGACAAGTTCTACGGAGGAAGCGGGTGGGACTGAGTGTGGCTGTCACAAGGCTCTTCTAACATTACCTGTGTTGTCTATTATATGTCTATTATAAATCTATCATACACGTGCATTATATACCTATAATTTCTTTTACATGTAAAACAATGAAACAAATGTGATAAAATTTATCAGGCATGGCTATATAAGCACTATATTTTCCATCATACTTTCCCCCAGTATGTTAATTTCTCAAAAGGAAACAAAAAATTAAGACAGAAGAAGGACTAGAGAAAAGGACTTGAGGCCTGCAGCACACTTGCCTCTCCACAGGAAGATCCACGTGCTACCTGCCTGCCCTGACCACCTGTACCCCTTCGAAACCTCTTCCCAAGTACAGTCCCCTGAGGCAGTGCCGAGCACTCTTACCTTCTCCTGGTACAGCTTATGAAGCCACTGAGCTGCTTCCTTCTCATCCAGTGGGATCTGTTCCAGAGGAAATCTCCTGTATGATTAAGAAGATTCAAACAAGGTGAATGCTAGATGGTATCAAATTAAGATGGAGTAAAAGAAAAATCAATTGCTATGCATTGGGGCTATTTGCTATTTCTGTTCAAGTCTTACTCTCAGTTTCTAAAAACAAATAGAAATCACAGTGATTTCTCCTCGGGTGTTCACCTGGATACTCTAGAGCCTGCCCAGTGCTTTGCTGGGCCCAGGAAGAGCCCCAAGGGGAGACCAAGAGACAAGTTATGTGTGTGGGCACAGCAAGATCACCGGGCAAGCAATACCTGTGAGCAGTTCAATTGAGGAGGTCATGCCTCCAGTTCCACTGTCAAGGGTGATCACTTATCAGCGTCTGCAGGAGTTCAGGAAATAATCTTGACTGAGAGTGTCTTTCATTAGGCAAAGAAGATACTGGATTTCACAATCAAATGAAATCCATTTGCTTCAAAGCAGGGTAAGAACTTGCTTCCCATGGGCCACTGTAGTGCCTTAAAAGGGGCCTCAGTCCACAAACAGGGGCGCAAACAAGCAGTGACCAAAACGGTGAGAGCCTCCAGCTCGTCATCACCTCGTCATCATGAGGGACCTGGTTGCTTCTTTGTGAACCAGGAGCCACGAGGACTGTCCCTGCTGGAGGTGCATCACCAAGTTCTAAGGCAGCAAGACTCACACATTTTTGTCTCTAAAAATTGAGGACTCAAAAAACTTTTGTTTATGTGGGATATATCTATTGATATTTACTGTATCAGAAATTAAAACAAAGGAGGCGGGGCCCAGATGGCAGAGTAGCCAGACAGCTTCCTATATCCCTCTTACAACAAAGACCTGGAAAAACAAGTGATTTGATTGTATATGAATATCTAGGAGCCCTGAACAAGACAAAGTTGAGGAATCAGACTGAGTGGCAGGGGGAGAGGGAGACGGTTCAGAAGAAGCGAGCAGCGCTACAGCGGCCGCAGTGGGACTGCAGCTCTTCAGTCACTCCGGGTCCGCAGTGAAGCAGGCAAACAGCTGTCCGCATGCTCGGGAAGCGGTTTCCACATCGAGAGAGATCAGGCAGCAGAGATTCTGCTTGGACACTCCAAACCAGTGAAAAGCACCTCCCAAGCGGCTGAAGATAAGTACATGCGTGTGGCCTTTCGCGGAGATTTAAAAAAAAAGCCCATTTGGGAAAAACCTCTCTTCCTTTTACCTCCTCTCTCCCTGCTCTGGACCAGGAGTCCACTGGGCTGGAAGTAGATCCCAAAAGGTGCCCTGACCCATTCTCCTGGCCTTGGAGAGGGAACAAATAAGCTACTGGCTCCCCTAAGCCAGGAACTCAGGGTCAGCACAGCTCCTCTGCTACGCATAGGTATAAGGGGTCCGCAGACTCTGA